TCTGGTTAAATAGGGGGGAACCTATTGAGAAACCCCACAGTAAGAGGGATCTGGACTCTTGGGGCCCACATCCCAAATTTAAGGACTTGGATAGGAAGTGGCTTAGAGTTCCTGGGCCAGGAAGAAGTGGGTGAAGGCAGCCAGCCTCCCTCAGCCTCTGCTCCCCTACTTGGCATTCTAGCCACTAGGATACCCAGCCTCCAGGGACCCAGCCAGAGGCCTACTGCATGGACTCTCTAGCCTGGCTTTCATTGCACTAAGGAACAATGATGGAAAGCCTGTATCCACACTCGTGTTTGCTGATGGTGCCTACTACTTTTCCCCACACCGTGATATGTAGGAATTATTGACACATGTAGTAAGGTCAGTTGTTAATAATTTATTTATCTGAATATTTTTCAGTGTGTGATGAGCGAGGAATCTGCTTCACCCATGAGAACAGCCTCCAGTAGTGCATGTAGTGTCTCATATTAACATTGTCTCTCCATCCAGGCATTTGTACTGTGACCATCACCCTGGGCATGTACAGGAAGTCAGGGGAAAGTACGGTATATGCAGGATACACTGTTCTGCCTCAGATTTCAACACCTTCAACCCTACTCCATGTCTGATTTCAATGCAACCGACTTCACCAACCCATCCACCTTCATCCTGCTGGGCATTCCTGGCCTGGACGCGACCCATGTCTGGATCTCTGTCCTTTTCTGTATCATGTACACCATAGCCCTCTTGGGGAACTTCAACATCCTCTTCATTGTGAAGACAGAACTGAGCCTCCATGGGCCCATGTACTATTTCCTCTGCATGCTGGCCATCACCGATCTATTCCTGACTACATCCACTCTGCCGAAAACACTGAGCATCTTCTGGTTCAACTCCAGGGAGATCGAATTCAGTGCCTGCCTCACCCAGATGTACTTCTTTCACTGCTTCTCGGTGATGGAATCTGGGATCCTTGTGGCGATGGCTTTTGATCGCTACGTGGCCATCTGCAATCCCCTGAGACATTCCACCATCCTGACAAACCCCATGGTGGCCACGATTGGACTGGCCGTGGTGCTGCATAATCATACTGACAACTCCCTTCCTGGCGAGGCGGTGGCCATATTGCAGAACTAACATGATATCCCACACATACTGTGATGGCATGGCTGTGGTGAAGCTGGCCTGCGCCAACATCCGCATCAATAGTTACTACAGTCTCTCTGTGGCAATCTTGGTGACTGGTTTGGATGTATTTTTTATCACTCTCTCCTATACTCAGATCCTCAGGGCCAACTTCAGCCTCCCCACAAAGGACATCAAGCTCAAGACTTTTAAAACCTGCGGCTCCCACCTCTGTGTCTTCTTAGCCTTTTGCATCCCAGCTCTCTTCTCTACCCTCTCACATTGGTTTGGCCAGAATGTGCCCCTGCATTTCCATGTTCTCATGGCCAACATTTACCTGCTGGTGCCCCCCATGTTAAACCCCATCATCTACGGGGTTGGGACCAAACATATTCGGGACAGGCTGCTCCAGGTCTTTACTTGTAAAGGGACCTAAAGTTTTCCCTCCCTTTCCTGAACTTTTTCGTGCAATGTCAATGTGTGACAAATTGGGGAATCGGTCTGTGTACAACTCATTGAGTTGACACCTTTCTAATTGTTTGTTACTAAATCCCCAAGGCCCCTTTGCCACTCCTCTTCTACAAATGCCCTGCCCCTGCTCTGCCTCTTCCCCTCAAGGCCCTGTCCCTTTCTCCTGTCTTACCCTCCCCTTGTCACTCACTGGATCATCTCCAGATCCATCCTCCCACCCCCCCCCCCCCCACATATGTGCAAGGGAGACATTTTAGGTTTTGATAGGGGTGACAATTTTAAACATGATTCAAGGGGCTATTTAGGCACTTGAAAACTCTATTTTTTGGCAGATAACATAGCAATTAGCTAACAGGAACACTGTATCTAATTCCTATATAAAAGAATGAAAAATATATAAATATTAGACCCACTCTGCTCTGCTACTAACATGTTCTGGCATCTTGGAGCAAGGAGGGGCAAGCAGGAGCTAGGGAGGAGAGATTTCAGGGGTGCACAGCTTGCCCACCACAGTCCCAGGCTGTATGCCAGGGGGACCTAGTCACATAGCATTGGAGTTTTTTTACAGATTGGCTTGTTATGGCCTTGTTTTGAAATGGGAATAGCTTGATTTTTGGCTTATTTTGAAAGTCAGGGTGTTTATTTACAGTGTGCAAGTTGGCATTAGTGAAATTAGTGTGTTACAGTGGGGGACAGATATATCTTGGGTCTATAAAAGAACATCAGAATCACCAATGGTCCATCTGGCCCAGTATCCTGTTTTCCAATAATGACCAATACCCACATACCTCAGTTGGGTTGAACAGAACAGGCATCATCTAGTGATTCATCCCCTGTCACCCACTTTCAGGTTCTGGAAAACAGACCCTATGGACATGGAGAACATGGTGTTGGGGTTGCTGCCCATCCTGGCTAATAGCCATTGATAGGCCTATTGTCCAGGAACTTATATAGTTCTTATTGGAACCCTGTTGTAGTTTTGGCCTTCACATAGTCCCCCAGCAAAGAGTTGTCTCTGAAGAAATTATTTCTTTCATTTATTTTAAATCTGCGGACTATTAATTTCACTGGGTGACCCCTAATTTTTGTTATTTACTCCTTCACATAACACATTTCCTTATTAAATTTTTCCACACAAGTCATGATTTAGAGCCCTATTTCATATCCCCGGAGTGACAAAGTTTTTCCCCTGCCCTGGTGTATCCTGCACTTTCTGGAGGATTTTCTCGCCTCAGGGGTTCACAGCAGCCCTCAGTTTGGCACTTTTGCTAGAGTCTGAAACCTGCCATTCACTCAGCTAACCTCCTCATTGGCCAGCATGGGGGGAAAGAGAGAACAATCTTCGCAGTCTCTGTTGTCCTACCTAGTTGGTCGAGGACAGGTCAGATCCCTCTTCAACTTAGATGTTGCCTCTGATGTGACTCACAGTCCAGGTCAACTCCTCCTGTGTCAAATAGGGAGTTGGGGGATGGGGAGAACCCAGGACCGAACTCTACTCTGGGTTCCAGCCCAGGGCCTTGTGGATAGCATCTGTCTGCAACGTCTCCTGAACCAGCTGCATGACAGCTACAACTCCCGGGGCTACTTCCCCATGGCCATCCCCCAGTATCTTCTTTATCCTCACCACAGGACCTTTTTCCTGAAGGCATTCGTACTCCTCAGTCCTCCAGAAGCACGCCTTCTCACTCCCAGCTCCTTGCGCGCCCCTCACTAACTGAAGGGAGGTCCTTTTTTAAACCAGGTGCCCTGATTAGCCTGCCTGCCTTAATTGGTTCTAGCAGTTCCTCATTGATCTAGAGCAGTTCCTGCTCAGATCAGGCAGGAAACAGAAAACTATTCATGCAGTGACCAGTATATTTGCCTTCTACCAGACTCCTGTACCCACCTTGTCTGGGTCTGTCACACTGGTTAATCATCTCTTTCCCAAGCTGAGAAGTCCCAGTCTTTTTAATATCTCCTCATACTGAAGGTCTTCTATACCTTTTATAATTTCTCTTGCCCTTCTCCATCCTTTTTCCAAATCCAACATATAGTTTTTGACACGGGATGACCAAATCTTCATGGTGTATTCAGGATAAATTAGACCCTATCATTTTGTAGGTATAATTGGGATTATATTTCACCATGGGCATTACTTTGCTTTTATGAACACTGAATTTCATTGGCCATTGTGTTGCCCAGTCACTAAGTTGTGTGAGATCTGTTTGCATCTCTTTGCAGTCTGCTTTGGACTTAATTGTCTTGAGTTTTGTGTCATCTGCAAATTTTACCACCTCACTGTTTACCGTTTTTCCAAATTTGTTATGAATATGTTGAACTGCACAGGTCCCAGTACAGACTCTCCCCTCTTTACCTCTTTCCATTCACAGACTGGAAATGGCCAAGTTTGCATAGCAACAACTCAGGAAAGGTTCCTATATGGTTCCTTGGAGTGTCGGGTCACAGATACAAACTTCTGTTTTATTCCAAAACTTTACTTCAATCTTCCTTCCTTTGAAAACACTATCCCACCTCCATGCTGAGAGGTGGAAAGTAATGTGGAACCTGTCTCTACACCCTCTTCTATGTGATACAGTTTTTATGCAATCACCCCATCAAAGAGGGAACCTGTAGCCGATAAGGATAGTTTGCTAGCTTGCTATATTGTATAATGTGTTTCCCGCATTGGCTTGATTCATATTATTTTGCTGTCATTTCCTAGTGTTATTGAGTCATCTTATTTTCTTGAATTTTGTTTGTTTTCATTACAGCCAACTATTAACTATTATGAATAACATATACTGCAATTCAACAATCTACAGGCCAGTAACCTATAGGATTGGCTAGGTTAAGTGTTTGTAATCTTTGGCATAGATAACTGGCCTACCGGTTACCCCTCCTGACTTGTGGGGAACTGGATGGGAGAACGGAAAAAAAGAAATGAATATGTTTGTCATTGGTCTGTAAGAGAGTGGTAACTGCAGGGTGCACCATAGAACATAAAAGTCGTAAGTAAGGCCAAGGATAATGATTTCAGGAATGAGATAATTGATACTGATATGTATGAACGTATGTCATAACACGTTAACCTATAGAGTAAGTGCACCCAAAGATTTATTTGGGTGAGGAAATAAGATTTGGGCATGGTAGGTTCGGCCTGGATTAAGGTATCAGGATCTCATAAAAGGACAAACAGCGTGATCGAAGATAGGAAAAGCATACACCTTGCATGGCTATCAGCTCAGCATCATAATACAGCCTGGCTACTTAAAACTTGAGCCTAATCCCTACCAATTTGGGGAGCCATCTAAAAACTTCTACCTCCAGAACTCCCCTTATTGGGCTCCCTCTTGGACTAATTTATTAGCTTTTCCATTTTCAATAGTATAGGGTTCTTACCTTGAGTAGGCATTGACCTTTTTCACTGTAACTGGCCACGCTGGGGCAGTGATTTTTAAGGCCAGGTCACGGATGTACCTCAGCAGCAATACATATTTGATCAGTGACCCATCAGAGGATGTAAACCCATTGGTTTCCTAACAGGGTACGAACTCTGAGAGAATTGCACATCCATGCTGTGTCAGAAAACAGACCGATGTTTTGGTACAAGGTCGTAATGGAGGCCTGGACACAGTTCTCCCAGATTCCGAACCCTGTGCATGGTTTCCCCTGATCATGATAACTAGAACCATCTACAAAGAAGTGATATCCTTTGAAGGAAACTTTCTCCCGGATTAAAGGTAGGAAAAACTTCCTCTCTATCACCACCCCTTGGACTCTGATTTTCTATGTCTAGACAAACATGGGGCTCTTATTGATAGAATAGGTCAGTTGGTAGCCGAGATGGTGTCCTAATAGGTTTCAATGCAATGTCCTTCCCTTGTAGCAACAAAGCCCAATGGACCAGACAGGCACTGGAAACCAGTTCATCTTTAACCCAATTGGATATTAAGAACTGCCGGGATGTGTGCGATGAATGCAACATGATTCGGTTGAGGACAATTAGAAAAGCAAAATGTTGTACAGCCAAAGTACTGGCCAATAAGTACTGCTTGTGACGTTATTGAAATGAACTGTGACTGTATAGATCATTGTTGTAACCAAGGTCCTATAGTTGTACCAAATCTTGTACAAAGGAGCTCAAGTGAGGTATCTATGTAAAGGTTGCAATTTACTGGTTCTGATTATGCTGTTTGTATGTATGTATCATGTTTGTATTTGAAGTTATGAATATTGGCTATGTACTTGTATCTCAATGTGTTTGATTCTGAGTAGCATCCGTGAAGCATTTGGTCAGCTTCTTGAGGAAGGACTATTCTGACTAAGTGCCCAACCAAGAAACACTTAACTGACAGTGGGCCTTGGGAGACTCCAATCCACATCTGAGGAGGCTTCCTGGGAAAGTTCAAGGTAGCATGTGAACAATGGCTGCTCTACCTGCAAACTGAGTCATGTCTGGACATGTGACTTGCCCATGTGACTCCAAACTCCATACTGCCGCTGTGATTATCAAGAGTAAGAACAAAGGGGTCCTTCCACATGGCAGAGGATATAAAAGGCCCTAGAAACCCATCCATTTTATCTTCAATCCTGTTTCTAACCTCTGGAGGGACCTTGCTACAAACTGAAGCTCTGAACAAAGGACTGAACAACCCATCCAAGCTGAGATGTTTCTACTCCAGAGATTTGATTGGTTTAAGCAAGCAGTAATCCCATCAAGCCTGAAACAAGCCTGAACTAAGAACTTTGAAATTGTTGTACATATTTGTTTCCATTTAACCAATTTTAACTCTCATCCATATTTCTTTCTTTTTAGGAATTAACATTTACATTTTAGATTCTAAAGGATTGGCAACAGCGTGATTTGTGGGTAAGATTTGATTTGTATACTGATCTGGGTCTGGGGCTTGGTCCTTTGGGATCAGGAGAACCTTTAATTGGGGACACTGGTTTTCATAACCATTTGTTCCTGTGAGGTGTGCTAGT